CTACTATCCCGGACTCGTCAGAGAGTCCAGAGCCAGCAGAGAAGGGTTCACTTGATATCTCAAACCCTCCAGAGGTTGACACGCTGGAGAAAAACTCACCCATCATTCCAGAGAGCTCTGAGTCAGTGGAAAAAGACTCACCTGTCATCCCAGAGATACTCGAGAACTCAGAATCTGGAGAAACATCAGAGACTCTTGCACCGGGAGTGGAACCAGTTGTGATTCCAGAGGATCCTGGGACTGCACAACCAGGCTCAGCTCCAAAGTGCACTACAGGATCGGATGATGACTCAGACGATGATGATGAACTGGTGAAAATTTTCGTGCCTAAAGAATGGGGTGAGGAGCTGTCTGAGAAGGCATTGAAGAAAAAGCTGAGAGGAGTTATCAACAGACATTTCAAAGTTGGTGGCACTTTCGTCACGATTGGTGATGTACGAGCTAAATTATGGTTTTGTCCTCACGGCCACGTCTACTTTCGTCCAATGAGCCATTTCAAGTTTCCTGAGAGATTGCCTGCCAACATGGAAATTCGTCACAAGGTAAATTTCTGATAATCATCACCAAAATCAATGGACTCAATGAAGAAAATGTATTAATAAATTGTTTTTCTCATTTATCTGTTCCAGTTGTAAACGATTCTGACATTCCAAGAGAGGAAAAAAAAACTGCTTTTGCTGTATGACGAGAAGATGGGACAATTGCTTATGCTACGAGAAAACATTTTTTCATGATGTTTAATTATTTTTCCATAATAATAATTCCACATTATGAGTATAAAACTCATTTACGGACAAATTGATCGCAGAATCCCAACCGTCGATAATTCCTGAGAAATTCAGTAGGTATTTAAGATTTAAATAAACACAATCGTTGCTATAAATGGATGTGCATTTCCATTGAGTTCGCTAGTGTAATTCCAAGATGGAACGTAACATCATCCCCTGTGCTAGAATAATTGAAATTCTGGAATATGCTTACCAGAATGCACTCTCTCAAGGCATAGACAAATGGATTAATCGATGCATCCGCTATATTCTACTTTATACAAAAACTCTCACCAAAACTAGTCTCTCTGTTGGTGAGAAAAATCAAATTCTATCGACAATCGCACGAATCCAAGGATACCAGGAGAGTTTCAGGAATAGACAACGTCGAGGAGGTCGAGTGCAGGTGCCATCAGGTAGCAGAGAAGAAACACTCACNCATTGAGTTCGCTAGTGTAATTCCAAGATGCAACGTAACATCATCCCCTGTGCTAGAATAATTGAAACTCTGGAACATGCTTACCAGAATGCACTCTCTCAAGACATAGACAAATGGATTAATCGGTGTATCCGCTATATTCAACTTTATACAAAAACTCTCACCAAAACTAATCTCTCTGTTGGTGAGAAAAATCAAATTCGATCGACAATCGCACGAATCCAAGGATACCAGGAGAGTTTCAGGAATAGACAACGTCGAGGAGGTCGAGTGCAGGTGCCATCAGGTAGCAGAGAAGAAACACTCACAGATCGAGTACGCTGGAGGGATGGCCCCTTAGCCTTCCAAGGTCGCATACGCACTGGTACTGTGATTAATCTACAAAACAAGGATCCAGCTGCCTTTCTGAGTGATGCCAAAGAGTTAACAATTGTGCGTTTGAAAAATGTTCTCGAGACTAATGGGAATATGAAAGTGAACAGTATATTAGCTGGTAAATTTCAAATAAAAAAAGAAGAGGTCATTACCAACGAAATAAAACAGTTTAATACGAAGAATGCAATTATTCTACCAGCTACAGACCTGGGGGCATGGTTTGATGAGAATGTGATTGAACCACTGCTTATAAAAATCGAGGATTTCCAAGAACGTGATTCAGGGTGGGAATTGATCGAAGTGCTAAATTTAATGATTAATATCAATCGCTATAGTCCACTCGCTGCAGGTTTATCGACTTACGCAGAGCTACCGTCTCATATACAGTGTAAAAAAGCCGTTGTGAATATAAGAAATTCAGATAAATTCTGTTTCTTGTGGTCAGTTATTGCGGCTCTTCATCCAGCGAAGAGAAACAGATGTGTTACTTCATCATACCTACATTATGCAAGTGCAACTCTACCCCTGTAATCAAGCCTGAAGAGACTTGATTACAGGGGTATCAATTTCCCCATCTCTTTAAGTGATGTTCTTAAATTTGAGAAGAGAAATGATTTAGCAATCAATATTTATGGTCTTGAAAGTGGAGTGAACGCTGAGACGGAGATAGTACCGTTTTATCTCAGCAAAATGGAATTAGAAATACCTTCAATTCATTTATTACTTTTTTTGTACGAGTGTGCATTTGCCAGTCAATGTACAGCCAGTTTATCACTTCGCGTGGATTAGTGATCTTTCAAGACTTGTTAGTGCGCAAATTTCAAATCGCGACCACCGTACATGGCTCTGTGATCGGTGCTTGTGTCATTTTCGGGAGAAAAAAAGTTATGAGGATCACAAACAAGACTGCTTTGTTATCAACAAATGTAAAATGATACTACCGTTGGAGGAGAATAAAATCTTGAAATTTCGAAATCATAAATTCAAGGAACCAGTGCCATTCNCATAAATTCAAGGAAACAGTGCCATTTGTTATTTACACTGATCTGGAGTGTATTTTACAACCGATTGATGATTATGATGATGCTGATAACAGATTGTACCAGAAACACATCCCTCACAGTGTCGCTTTCTACTTACAGTGTTCCTTCAATAATAACCTAACTCTCTTTAAAATCAAACGTGGCGCGGATTGTATCATGTGGTTCATGAATGAATTAAAGAAGACGGGAGAGATGGTAAATGATATATTGAAGACTGTTGTACCAATGGAACCACTTACCGACGAAAAATCGCGAGACTTTGCAACTGCTCGAGTGTGTCATATATGTGAGAAGCCTTTCAGTTCAACAGATATAAAACATCGAGACCATTGTCACTTCACAGGCAGGTATCGTGGAGCGGCGCATGCTGGTTGCAATATAAATTACAAAAATTCACAAGATATCCCCATAATTTTTCATAATCTCTCAGGCTATGATGCACATTTTTTGATTAAAGATTTGGTAAAATATTTTGAGGGACCGCTAGCGTTGCTTCCACTAACCAAAGAGAGATATATTTCATTCAGGAAATCTATTCCACAGACGAAAGTTAGCTTGAGATTCATCGATTCGTTCAGGTTTATGGCAAGTAGCTTGGAACAATTGGCATCAGACCTGACTGATGTAGACAAGACTATTACACTGGCTCATTGTGATGATGATGAACAATTCCATTTATTAATGAGGAAGGGTGTATTTCCCTATGAATACTTGGATAGTTGGGATAAATTGGATGATCGAGAACTGCCCTCAAGAGAAGCTTTTTTTTCGGCACTGAACAACCAAACGATTTCAAATGACGATTATGCACATGCGTGTCAAGTTTGGGAGAAATTTGGTCTCTCAACACTTGGTGAATATTCTGATTTGTATCTGAAAACTGATGTGTTACTCCTGGCTGATATTTTTGAGAATTTCCGGAAAAGCTGTTTTTCCGTGTACAAACTAGATCCACTGCATTATTATACAGCACCTGGACTTGCGTTCGATGCAATGTTGAGATGCACTGGTGTGGAGATTGAACTTTTCACAGACGTTGATAAACTCTTATTCATTGAAAAAGGTATCCGAGGAGGAGTAGCTCAGTGCACTAATCGTTATGCTCATGCCAATAATCGTTATATGGGTGAGAATTACAATCCAAACGAAGAGGAATCATATCTTATGTACTTTGATGTGAATAATTTGTACGGTGCAGCGATGAGTCAATACTTACCCTGTGGTGCATTTGAGTGGGAAAATCCCGAAGGATTCAATGCTCTTCATGTACCTGATGATTCTCCAACTGGATATATATTGGAAGTAGACTTGGAATATCCCAGAGAACTTCATGATGCACACAAGGATCTACCTCTATGCCGTGAATATTTTGTTCCTCCAAATCGCAAGAATACCAAGTCAATGATTACTTTGTATGCCAAAAAATCCTATGTTATACATTACAGAAATTTGAAACAAAGTTTGAATCTTGGAATGAAATTGACGAGGATCCATCGAATATTGAAATCCAAGCAAGCAACATGGCTCAAGCCCTATATTGACCTGAACACAGAAATGCGGAAAAAATCGACGAGTGAATTTGAAAAGAATTTCTTCAAATTAATGAATAATGCTGTTTTTGGGAAAACCATGGAGAATGTAAGGAAGCACAAAGATGTCAAATTAGTCACCGAGTGGGGTGGAAGGTGGGGGGCAAGAGCTCGCATCGCTCTGCCTGAAATGAATTGCACGCGAATCACTTTTAATAAACCGATCTACATTGGATTCGCCATTTTGGACTTGTCGAAAATTTATATCTACGATTTTCATTATAACTATGTGAAACAAGTGTTTGGTGAGCGTTCAAAATTAATGTACACTGACACAGACAGTCTTATATATCATTTCAATGTTCCTGATATTTATGAGTTTATCAAACGAGATATTACGAAATTTGATACTTCCGATTATCCCGCAGAGAATTTTTTTCAAATGCCAAGAGTGAATAAAAAAGTGATAGGTTTAATGAAAGATGAATGTAAAGGGGAAATTATGACTGATTTTATAGGCCTGCGTGCCAAACTCTATACTTTCAAGGTTTTGGGTGATTTAAAAGAGAAAAAACGAGCGAAAGGTGTGAAAAAAGCTACACTGAGGACAATTACATTTGAAGATTATAAAAAATGTCTCTTTCAGCAGAAAAATCTTAAAACATATCAATTTTTGATTCAGAGTAAAAAACATGAAGTTTACACTGTAAAACAACAAAAATTAGCCTTGAGTTCTAATGATGACAAGAGAATCATAACACCTGGTTCGACAGATACTGTACCTTATGGATATCATGAATAAATCAACAGAGTTTCGAGAAAATATTTTGTTTTTTATTTCAGAAAATTACATTTGATTAGCATCTATCCAACTATTATGTGTATCATCAAATCCCAACCATTTTACAAATTCTTTCTTCCCCTTCCTTCTCAACACTTTCTCCACAAGAAACACATCTGGATGCTTCACTCCACTCAGTTCCTCCTGATAAAAACCTCCTTTGATTGCTTCATTCTTCCCATCCACAAGTTTATAGGTGACAGGATTGGTCTTCTGTACTTTCTGAATTGTGAAAACTTCTGTTGTCCAGTTGGGGGTGTATCCTTTCTCGAAAATTGTTTTATACTTGCTGATTCGCACTTTATCACCAACCTTGAATTTGATTTTCTTCGTACGATTTATCGGTAATTTCTCATATATATGTTTCAACAAAGATTTTTCATTCTTGATTGTGACGTCTTTCGGCTTCATTTTGATGGTACGATGTTTTGTATTATTGTATTCAGCTACTAAATCATCAACAATGTCAATCCACTTGTAAGTCCCAAGAATAGAAAACTGCTTCCACATTTTATTCTTCAGCGTTCGATTGAAACGTTCACATATGGATGCCTTGACATTACTGAAGGTTGAGTACATGCTTATTTTATTCTTTTTCATGAGAGCTTGAAAATCTTTATTGTAGAACTCTTTGCCCTGATCCACGTGTAGCTTTGTGGGAACACGGCCTTCTTTCAAAATTTTATTCATAGCACTTGTGACATCAGCAGCGTTTTTTGACTTGGTGGGAATGGCCCAGGCGTACTTAGAGAAAATATCTATGACAGTGAGGAGATATCGGTAATTTTTGTTGGAGTTCGCATATGGAATCATTTCCACAAGATCAGCCTGCCACGTCTCATCCAGTCCACGAACGTCAACATGTCGTCGCTTGAAATTTCTTCGAGCTGGCCTATGAAGCTCTTCAGCTATTGTCCGTTTCGTTAGATCCATTTAATTGTTTATTTAACTCTCCGATCTTGTGCCAGTATTCCTTCAGTTTGCCCTCAAGATTCTTCACACGTTTGCGTATTGCTAGCTCACGCTCATTTATAACTCTACTCTGAGCCGTTAATTTCTCTATAAAATCGGCCGCCACACTTTTTTTCACCTCATCGATTTCTTTCCTCAGATTTTCACGCAAAAAGTGCAGAGAAATGGCATCAAATTCTTCCACTGGATCAGCGATGTTGCATAATCTTTTGCCCTCAATACTGTAATTTCCATCGAGTGTACGTTTAAATCCATCACCTGGTGGACCTCTCCTAGCAGCAGTGGTGGTCTTACTGCTGTATGACAACTGCCGTCCAAACACATCGACACTCATGATGTAAATGAGACATTTTGTATAATGTCAGGTCCTAATATATGATTTCAGCCTCACGTAGTTCTTCAATTATAGAGAGAATTTCATTGGTATGACTGGTATTACCGGCCGCTCGAGATGCTGTGAGGAGACGGAGTCTATCCACCAGTTCATTTGGATTATCCCAGTAAATGTAGTCCATCCTGCTTGTTGTTGTCTTGGGGGCAATCATGGAGTGAGGCAAAAGAGCTGTCCCAGTTTTCGCTGGAGATGAAACCAATGCTGCGATGATATTTGTAAATTTTTCAGTTGGGTTTCTATCTCGTAGAGCCTTGCTGGATTTATAATACAGACGATGTGCATTCGTATGATGTAAAATTTCACCATAATGCTCCTTATCTGTTCCAGTCACATGTATCATTTCAGGATTTTTATCAAATATTAATGTCAATAGACCTGTTGTCAACTTATACTGCTTATCACCAACTGTCATAGAATCTCCATTGAAAGTCACTGTTTTATTCCCAATTTTCCAATTTTCATTCAATTTTCGACCACCAAATTCTTTATCCAAGTCCTTGTCTTTTGCCGTTCCAAATCGCTTGAGATAAGTCTGGAGGTGATTTTCAATTGTATTCGGGACCATTGTTTCATCCAATGACTCTTCCGATTTTGATCGACTTTTTGACCTTGAATCATTAGCAAATGACGATGAATTTTGATGACTTGTTGAAGGTAGTGCACGAGCTGGAGTGCTGACCACAGCTTTCTGCTGGAAGTCATCTCTATCTATCTCGTCAAATGACATCCCTGCTGTGTTGTATAAATCATCACCATCGTCATTTGATGATGAGTGGAAACGTAACAAACGTTGGTCAATCTTTTTTCGTCTTTTTCTCATATATTCTTTTTTATGCTGCTGCACACTCGTTTGATCAACCAATTTTTCAAGGGGTGTAATTACAGGTTTCAAGACTTCATTTATAGCACGCTCACTAGTGTCTTTACCAAGTTTCAACGTATTATATTTGCGACGAATTGTTTTACTTGCCTCAGCAATGTGATGCAGAACGTCCGACTCAAGTTGCAAGTCTTTACGCTGCATGCTGAAGGTTATACGTTCCATTCAACACTGCCTCAAATCTCCATGTTTAACACCTATTTATATGCACATAGCAATCGAATCCTTTTCGATACCACCCCTCATACAATTCACAATCTTTATTAATTGTGATAAACCCATACTTATCAGTACTCCAGCACGCTGCACACAATTCCTTGAACTGGGTATATGACATATCAGTATTGACATGATCATGATAAATGTGTTTCAAATTCATCTCATCCTGACGAAAGAGTATGAGCAAATTTGTATTATCACGCACCAAGTGTTTTGGGATACAAGCGTAAGTCTGACAGAGATAGAAGCACTCTACATCTCGATGTCGACCCACGCAAAAAAATGTTCGCATGTTATCTTGTTTTTCACAGGCAACATCATCGAATATCATAATAGAGTTGGGTTTAGTCTCCTCAGGTTTAACCACTTCATCATGATCATTGAAAGGAAAATAGCCAATCACTTTCACTGTTTCCAATAACTTTTTCAAAAATTGATATTTTGGTTGATTTAGAGATTTCGAGTATACGTAAACATTTTCAAACTTCAAACCATTAGGGTGTGTAATAAGTGCAAACAGAGCGTTTGTCTTTCCACAATTCNATATTTTGGTTGATTTAGATATTTCGAGTATACGTAAACATTTTCAAACAACTTCAAACCATTAGGGTGTGTAATAAGTGCAAACAGAGCGTTTGTCTTTCCACAATTCGAGGGTCCACATATGACTGCTCGTACACTATTGGGGAGGAGGGGACCGTGACGATTTTTTCGCTTATCTTTCTTTTTATCAGTAATTTTATCGAAATTCATCACAGGCAGCTTGGCACTTTGCTCCTTGAACTCCATCTTGACGACTGTCATCGAAGCCTATAAATACGCTGTATTTATGGACTTTCTATGAGTCTCTGGGAGAACATGGCTGCGTGCAAACATGCAAAAACTCGGAAGGGTAAAGGTGTGGTGAACGATCTCATTAATAAATTACCCATTGAACTGCACGTGTCTGGCTATCAGGACTGTGGACCTGGAACGAAGTTGGTGAAATGATTGGCACGTGATGATCCTGTTATAAATCCTCTGGATGCCGCGTGTAAGGAACACGATATAGCTTATTCAAAGAACAGAGAGAACTTAACAGCTAGGCACGCAGCTGATAGAGCCCTCGCTGATAAAGCTTGGCGTCGAGTTCTAGCCAAAGACGCGAGTCTTGGTGAGAAG